TGCGATGATCACGCTGTATCGTAGGCTATCTTTGGTCGCAAGACCGTGACAACGGCCATCTTTGAACCTCTCTCACTATACGACATAAGAGCACTGATTAGGAGCCACGATCACAGAAATCGCCACGATTGTTTCATGATGTCAGTATTTCGTCTGGGACAGCCGAAAATCGTGCAGTGTGTATAGGGCTTAAGGACGACCAGTTGCACCAATTCTTCAAAGTCACAAACACAGGTCATAAACAATGAAAAAAAGATGGCTTTTCGTGTAGCCTTTCAAAAAAATCTACATTTATTGTTGTTTTCCTTGTTTTTGGTTGATATAACCAATTCTAACTTTCACTGCTAGACTGAGCTAGACAGCCTTTAGTGCTGTTTTAACAATGCTAGATTTTGTCAGTTGTGGGTAGCTGTAATATAATGTCACGTCTGCTCTTCAAAAATACTGCAGTTTCATAAAACATCAAGTACTTGAAGAGTATGATTACGTATAATCAATTACATTTGCAAGAAAAACTATATTTTCATCATTTTCATTTAGATCTTCAAAGAACATACTTAGCAGGTCATATTGGTTTATAGTATTTCCTCTTATTGCCCATCTTACTGAGCTCTTGTGCTATTGATGTTAAAGTGTAATCAAATTCTAAAATTAAACATTTTTATTAAAAACCATGTTGCTTGGAAGTGCCAAATTGAACAGATGCCAACATGAACATGTTGTGTGACATTTCATCCTTGAAAACCAAGAACAAAAATACGGAAGGCAAAAGAAAATACGACCATGACTTCATGCAATACGGGTTCACTTGCAGCAAGGATAAACATGTTGACACATTGAGTTTTATTTTGTGAATTAATGACTGCTAAGAGCATAAAACTATTCAAGACCAATTAAAAAAAAAACAGTCAAACTATAGATTAAAAACTGTAATTTTGCAACTGATTCTGCAGTTCATGGTTTTTAAAACTCATGATACAAATGTGCACAGACAATTCTAATTTGAACTAAATTACTTTCTTTTCATTTCTACATTCATGTAGGACATTTAAAGAGATAAACTGCAGAGCTGAGTGATTCATAATGTCATTGATTATTGGTGGTTTTGGAGATTCAGACTCTTTCTGCAGTTTAAAGTGATATGCCAGTAGGTGGCAACAAGTGACTGTCTTTATGAGTCATTGAATCATTCATTGAACCAATTATTTTAAAAACACTGACTCATTCAGGAAATAAAAAAGGGAGTAGCTTTATGATTGAGTCACTGAATCATTCACTTAACCACTTAATTCAAAACACTAATTCACTGATTCATAACTGTGTGTTGATCGGAAATGGTTGGCTTGGCTTTTACTTTGGAAATATTTTTTTATTGGTTAAGCAAAATTAGGAAAGTAATTGTGTCTAAAATGCAGTGTTAACTTCTTGTTTTTGAATAGTTGTATAAATATATCACACACAATCGCGTTGGTCAGAATCAGCAAGGCTGTGATTGTTAATATGTTGCATTGTAAGAACACACTGAGGTAAAGACTGGCGCTTAATGATTTGTAATATCAGTTATTATTTTGAGAACATCGGAACACATTGTGTAGGGAGTTTTCTGTGATGATGAATTGGCTTATGAATGAATCTCATTATAGTTTTCTTGAGCCAAAATCATGCCCCTCGCCTTATTTCTGTTTAATAATTCTCACATGCACCTCAGACAAATTATACTCTGCAAACCATCAGCCATTTTCATCCTCAAGGTTACAGCAGGCTTTGCTTGAAGAAACAGGAAGCACCAGAAAGACGAGTATAAATCAATGGTGGATGATTTCATGGTCTGGTAACTTCAGATGACTGTTATATAATATGAATGTGAAAATATGTATAGTTTTTTTTAGACTTGTTGTGTCATAACATAAAATGCTAAAGTAATTGTTAGATATTTGCTCATGAATATGCTAAAATTGTGTTGTGCATATTAGCCTCTATCATACTCACATTTGAAAAATAAGTTTTATCATTTTCCACTGCATTCTGAAAGCACTCCACTATTGACTACGCTCTTGACTATATTTTCAGCCTTAAAGAAAGTTTAAAAAGCATAAATCATGAAGACAGATATTTAGCTAGTTTATATTTAAAATGGTATCATGGTGCGCGTCACATCAGTGATGCTCAAAGAGACTTTGATACAAGCCCTAACTGTGATACTGTGATGTGGTTTGCTTTCCACATCACTGTTCATGTGCCAAATGTCCTAGATTTTCAAGGAACATCCATCTGTGGAGTTCAAATTTTGACATACATATATTTATTATATGTGTATATACACAATAAGTGCATTAATCAGCTAACCTTTCACACAAATGTTGCTTTTTGCTTTCTAAAAAAATAAAGCAAGAGAGGTCAGATTATTGGGTAAAAAAATCAAAGCAACTCTCATTTAGACTTTTTTTTTTTATAGTCAGTTTCCTTTCAACTTTATTTGGAGTGACATTTGTGGTAAATGTATTCATAGCATGGGCCGTTGAAATTTTATGATGTCATATCAGTGAGAATTTACAATCTTGTAATTCACATGATCAAACCGCTTTACTTGTTTCCCATGGGCTGGACATTTATAGATGAACACTGTTTCTGTCCAAGGCTGTTTATCACAATGGCTCATGTTCATGCTTATTTTTATCATGCACTCTGGTGTTATCAGTGGTGGCATTAACATAAGATTAATTATTAAATCTAATTTATATAACATTTAGCAAAGCCTGTGTTACAGAATAAATATGTTTAATACAACAGTTCGTTCCGGTCTACTGGGGCACTGGGACTTTGTCTGACTTTGTAGGCGATCACTCTACTTGTCTGTGTTTATGCATTTCAGACAGACTCCCGGTCTATGTATTAGTGATGGAGATTTTTCACTGACTCTTTGCGCTGACTCTTTTCCAGATTATATAGTTATGCCATTAGGTGGCGCTAAATGACTGTATTAATGACTGAGTCATTTAAATCATTCATTCAACTGATTTGCTGAAAATGCTGATTCATTCAACAAAACTACTGAGATACTGAATCATTTACTCAACTGATTTGGTCTAAAGCGCTTGTTATTGTGTTCAATCAAGTGTAAAACAGTTGACTATTCTTATGAGTGAGATACTGAATCTTTCACTACATCAGTTTGCTCAGCAATGCTGATTCAGTTATGAGTGAAACAACTGACTGTATTTATGAGTGAGATATTGAATCATTCACTCAATCAATTTGCTCCACATTGCTGATTCACTCTTGAGTGAAAAACATTGACTGTATTTATGAGTGAGATATTGAATCATTCACTCAGTTAATTTGTTCAACAATAAAAAGCATGCATTTTAAGGTTAGACTTTAAATTCTGATGTTAAATCCGCTATTGTATTGTATATAAATGTTCTACAGTCTTTACACAGTATTAAGTTCAATTGCATAATAAGTAACTGTTATTGAATTACAGAAAAAAATGAGTAATCCCTTACTTTACGTTTTCAAGGGAAAAGTAATTAAATTACAGTAACTAATTACTTAGTAATTAGTTACACCCAACACTGTATGTATGTGTGTGTGTGTATATATATATATATATATATATAAACACAACCTTATATTTTGTTATTTCCTAATTTACATATATGAACAATTGATATAATTATTCAACTAGATGAAAAATAATAGCTTAATTTAACCCTATTTTATTATGTTTGTTGGACTGTTGCATTTAGAGGAACAAGCTATCCATCACATTAATAGCCTCATTTGATAAACAACCTGCAGGAATAGGATTGATTTATACTCAGTCTATAAACAAATATCACATGGTCACATTGCACACTTGCTTTGAGATACAGTAAATCTAAGAAGTTATTTATTCCAGTCTTGGCTTTACAAATAAGCTTGAAAGTAATCCAGGACTTTTTCATCTGTTACACTTCCAAAAATATATTGGTCTATATCAAATGTAAATATCATAGATATTGTAATCTGAGAATTTTTATGTTTGCTTTGTATGTTTGCCCTTGTGTTTCCATGGAAATGAATCAGTTATGCAGTTCAAAATTAAGAGTGAAAGGTTTTTGTCTTTTTTTCCCATTAGTCTCTTTCAAGGGTACAGGTCAGACTTGCTAGAATCTACAAACGGATACAGATATTCCCTCGCACACACACACAACATTGCAGGGTAAATTATCGTTCCCATCTGACTACATTGCAACACAGGAGCCACATCTGCTGAATCTGTAAACAAGCAGTGCGCTGTTCATCAGACGCAGTGGAAACGACCAGAAAAGGCCTCATATTTCTCAGGCTGATTATATCAGCTGTGTCCTCGGGGCAGATCTGAAACAAATGGATCACACAGCCACAAGGGCTATCGATTCCAATCCCTATAAATATACATCTCCCTCCTAAATATTTCAAAGCTGTTTTGTAATGCAGTGTATGCTTTAAAGGGGTCATATGATGCGTACACCAAATACACAAAATAATGTTCTTTTTAGCAGCATCATATGACCCCTTTAAAAGCACATACCTCAAAGTCTTTGACATTCTCATGTGAAGGATGTTTGTATTATGCCATAAAAAGCTCATATTTACAAGCATGATAAAGATAAATAATAATAATAATAATAATAATTCTCGTTCTGTGTTCCCCTCGGTAAATCGTGTTTCCCCCTCGGGGGGGCCCTCCATCGTCGGGCCTTTAGAATCCCCCCGGCGAACCTGTTTCAAAACCATGAATAAAAGACTGATATCAAGAACTGATATCACCTTTTTCCTCAAATTTCGTGTTTTCTCATTCAATCTGTTCTCCACACTTTCCCTGGTCCATTTCTGCCGTCAGCGATCTAATAAGCTCAATAGCATCGAGTACCTTAGCAATGATAGATGGAAAACGTTTTTTGTAATTTGCTTCATTAATTTTGCTGACATATCGAAATGGGTGAGAAATGGGCCACTAGCTCTGGAAGCACTGAAATTTTTACTGTCACTCTGACATTTTATCATTAGTGAAAAGATCTGTGTAAATAGACAATCTTTTAAACAGAAGAGCATGAATTTCTACTACTCCAACATATGCTACAAATGCTGGTGACCATACTCTTCTTTTCAACTGAAAAGTTAAGGGTTTTTTTCCTTTCCCTTAGACACTGATATGAAGTATCGTTTTACAAAGATACTACTTTTTTTTTTTTTGATTAACCATTAATAAGACCATCATGTTAGTTTTTTGCAAGCCATTTCTGCCAAAGTTTGGGGTCAGGTAAAGTAATCCTGAGAAGGAAAAAAAGAATCATAGTTTCCACAAAAATATTAATCAGCACAACTGCTTTCGACACTGATAATAATAATAACAGTGTCATGTGACACTGAAGACTTTAAAATATATTTTTAAAAATGTAAATATATTAAAATAGAAAACAGTTACTTTTAGTTGTAAGGATGTTTCAAAATGACTTGTGTTTAAGTTTTCTCAAGTTTTTTTTTTTTTTTTAT